ACTTTGCCTCATGGTGGTGTCTATCAGTGAACAAATCTGGTCCATCAACTTCAAACAAATCCTGTCAAACCATCACTTCTTCATTAAACATATCCGCTACGTTGACAACCGACTCATTTTTGGCGATGCTCGTCTTCAACAGCTCCCACCCTACGAAGTCCTTCTGGACGCAGGGAAAACCAATTATCCTTGAAACTGAACCCGATCAAGAGTTCCTTGGCTTCATGCTCGAAACCAAACCTTTGGAACTCATCTACCACGGACCCACCAACATTTCTCAAGTTCTGTCGCCATACTCGGCTTCACCTCCAAAGGTCCTGCCTAGCGGCCTCCGCTCTAGATGTCACATTGTTGTCAAGGGTGCCTTTCCAGATCATCGAGTCCAACAAGGTCTGGATCAATTCATCCACCTATACATGCTGGCTGGTTTTCCCAATGGGGAACTCCACACCATTTCATCACAGATCTTGACTCAGCATCAGAACCTTCAGCCGCATGAGAAAATGCGTTCGCTACTGCTTTCATGACTTTTTTTGTTCAATTTTGTCTCCTGTGGTTTCTTTTTCCCTTTCCCTTGTTGTTTGGTCTCGTATTGATCTTACTGGTTAGTTTCTGGCTCAAACTCGGTATCCAAACCTCGCGCCTGTCGCTTGTGACGTCTGTGACAATCATGGACAACCCTCATGGTCGTGAGATTCACTACCATTTAGCTCGGGCCTTGATGCATTTGAACAGCATTGCTGGTTTTCTGCCCTTTTTCGAACCTGTTGTTGACTGGGACGACCACCCTAATGATCCATACGGCCGTTCTACACGCATTCATCCACATCACAGGCAATTACATACTTTCGTGCCTTAACCTTCTTCTTCGTCCATTCCTACTCTGTCATCACACGCGGGTTTACCAACCCATATGGTCCTGAACAGGGAACCTCACCTGCGACCTCTTTCCATTCGTCGCGACATCAACACCATTGAAGACCACCGCTCCACTAGCCTTCCCTCTTGCATGGCTCCTACCACTCCAGTCCTTCGAAACCCTCAAGTATCACCTCATACCACTGAACCTACCAGACCAAAAGCCAAAGAATCTCCAGCTGAAGACGTTCGCCCCAAAAAGAAACAACGTGCCTTAGGCACGACCACCGCCACAACTACCGCTCCCACTTCCCCAACCTTACCAGTCATCCGTGACATTCCACCGGAACGCTTTTTTAATCTTCCGATCCGAACCCAGTTAACCATCTCAGAGCTCACATCTGCCACGCATGATGCCTCTTCCGAAAAAAGCCCTGCGGCAGCGGGGCGTGTGTGTGAAACATCTGAATAGATGTAAAACTTCTACCTGATGATGTCAATTGCCTTTGCTTTCTTTGGTTTTAGGTCTGCCTCACTAACTGTTGTTTCTTATTTTCTACTTAACAATCATTGCAGGGGGTAGCGGCAGATCACTTGGGACCGCTACCAACGAAAACGCCCATTTGATCTGGTGATACAGATTGGGGCGCCAACCTGCGTACCTGCACCAGTTTTCATTTCTCGTCAATGGCAACCGGCTAAGCCAAGAACCGGCATGTCGTTTTTTCAAACAGTTTCAAACCAAACTCAAACTCTCAGATTTCCACCTGATGTCACTTCAATGCCTGTACGGTTTTCGCAATCTGTCAGGGTTGGGAACGGTTTGGCTTAGTTGAAAGGGAAGTGTCAGCTTCCAATTTACTGCATCTAGCAATGGCTATGGCGATGGAAACTTTTCGATACTTTCTCAGGTCTTTTCACCGACCCATTCCTGTCAGGTATAATTGGAGTGTTTTTGCACGTAAGATGCATTCCACATCAGAATTCGCAATGATTGTTCTGAGCAAGTGTGTGTGTGTGGAACATCTGTACAGATGAAAAACTTCAATTAAGTCGTTGAATGTTTCTGATATGAACTAGATTGGCAGGGGGCACAGGCCCATTGTGGATACCTGTGCCAACGAAGCTATTGCACAATGGGGGAAGCGGAGATTGATCACCTCCGTGTACCTGCACTTTTTGACTGTTGTGGCAAGGGGCTAAGCCGAGAACCCCAAAAACAATCATTTCATCTTTGATGGTATTTTACACATGGTCCCTGCGATATTTTTCCGAAATGGCGAAGGGCTAAGCCAAGAACCCTACAGAGATCATTGTCACGGTCTACGTTTTATTTGAAGGTATCTTTTTGATGATATTTATGGACCTGATTGTCTTCTCGGAGTACCTTCTATTGGTCGACTAATTCATCTAGGATGATTGTTTTCCTGACTAATTTGCACGTTTAAGGACTCAGTTCCTGATGGATCACCTAAAAGATCCAATTTTGTCTAGTGTGTGTGTGTGTGCATGGTGGGTCAAGGGGCTGAGCTGCACAAACATACATGGGGAGACTTGTTATTCAGCCGTTCTTTGCTCTTTCTACTCTTAGATCCAATTAGCAAGAATGCACAAGGTCACTATCAGTTTGTCTTAGGGCCACATCGTGGAGCTTTGTACCTTTGGTGCAGAGGCGGACAACTTGCTGCGAAGCAAGCAGAGTAGATGTCATTTGGGTGCTGGTTGGAAGCGGGCACACCGGCCCTGCCACTTTTCCTAAATCAATAGAAATCAATTATATAAATCACGAAGCCGACAAGTGCCGATTACAAACACGGTAGAGGGTGCCAGTTAGAAGAAAAAACACATTTTCCTTGATTCAGTATTTGAGTTCAGATTCCATTCAGGTTGCGGTTGATGTGTTTTCAAGAAGGTTGCGTTAGTTGCTCACGATTCTCTCTCCCTTTTTCCCTGAGTTTCCGAAGTCGCAAACACAACAGAAAATGTCAAACTCTATCAAATGGATTTATATAAACGGTTCTATTGCCAGAATTTCTTTTGATGTTCTCCAACTAGCATTTCATCCAAAGGGTTCAGAAGTAATTACCCTAGAACCCTTGGAATTTCCCGCACCACTTCATAATATATAATATAAATTATAATATGATCATACGTGGACGCAGTTCTAGTCTCACAAGGTTGAGCCATCAAAGTACATTGACTTTCACAGTGGGATTCAGGAGTAACATGGAGTAACAACGTAGTAACAAGTTTTCATTTTTTTTCAAAAAGCTAAGTCCTTGGCGCTTGCTGAGCTCGCTGTAGAGGCCTCACACCCATCTCCGGTCCTGCAGCAACGAAATCTGCAAGGGAGAGAGAGATAGAGAGAGGTTCCTTGCTGCAAAATGAACTGAGACTGAAGCTGAGGAAGTGCGCTCCTTCATTGGAAGAAAATACAGGATTTTGTTTGAAGAGGCGTTGTCAGAAAGTGCAATGATTCTTCCCAGAAAGCAAAACTTGAGAGAAATAGCAGAGGAGAAAAACATTGCTCGACTAAAACTGGTAAACAACTAGACTCTAAGACGGGGCAGCAGCCGAGAGTCTCTTGAGATCTTGTGTGAGCGTGTCTTGTTTTTTTTTGTTTGTCTGTTCGGCATTTTGTTTGATGTTTTTTTTTGGTGTGTCTTTTAACGGCATTTGTTCTCTGATCTCTGCAAGCATATTTGGTCTACCCTGGCTGCATTATGCATCAAATGCAACTCATCTGATTTGTGCAATCAGGTTCACAGGCAATGACACAAGAACAATTCACATTGTGTAAGAGTGATAAGAGTGTTTAAGGTTTCATGACACACTTGATGAGCTTGAATTGAAAGATGAATCATTTGAACAATGCAGCTTATGTTTAACATTGTTTAACTTTTAACAAAATGACAGGCAATGTTCTGTTTACATACTAACCTCGCAAGTCAGACTATAGCAAGGTTGACAAATCGGCCGCCCCCATGGTGATTAATTCGCAGCGAAAATCTAGCGAAGTTGGCAGGCCTTTCTCTGTGTACAAACACCGTACTTAAGTCACATCAGGCGGAGAGAAGTCACAACATCCCCATGGCACAGCGGCGATACACAAAAGTCACATCAGGTAGTGGAAAGTCACATCAGGGAAGAAGAATCACCATGGCACAGCCTGTTTTATCTATAACGATACATATACCTAAAAGTGTCCGAAGCATTGCGCACAGCAGGGAAAATGACAGATACTTTGCCAAAAAGGTTCATATTTGTAGAATCCTAATGGAATGGTTGTAAGCCTAGAGAATGCGGCACCCAATTCCCAAGAACAAACCCATCTAATTATCATAATTATCTGAAAAGAACCCCCAATAGCAACAATATCTTAGCAGCGTATGCCCCCTTGAAAGACAAATACACGTACCAAAAGTTGTTGCATACAAAAATTTAAACTTTTTCCAGGCGCACGGCTCCAAAACAATGAAATGTTACACTTAATTATTGAAAATTGGGATGCCAAAATTGATCTTTTTCCAGGCGCATGGCCTCCCGGTACGACTTTTACGAGCTGATACGACTTAACCCTATAGCGCTTGTACCATCCATACACATGCATGGATGCATTGCGGCAGGCATTTTTTAACCCCGCTTATGCGAGATGGAGCGCTTTCACAATCAGAAACATAAGCGGATGAGTTTGATAACTATCGTGCTCATGGCAGCTGAAAGGTGGTGATCTCTGGTGAGTTTCATATGTTTCATCAAGATTTTCATCCCATCTCATCCCTCGTTCCATCTCCATCTCTGCCTGTCCTTGTTGGGGACCTACTAGCAAGCTTCTGCGATGCCTTGGAAATGGAATCAGCCAGGGCGCTTAAGCGGCCACCAATCAAACAATGTCCTCTTGCCATTGGCTACATGCATATTAATATTGCATAATTAATCTTCCAGAAAACAGCTGATCAATCTGCTGGCATAGACTTGTTAATCTGATCTACCTCTTCAAATCTTTTGATCCACTGAATTCAGTCTCCTAGATCATCGAAGACGCCCTTTTTTCACAAGCTGGCACCACTCAATCTTGACAATGCTTCCAGGAACAAGGATGACAAAGAGGACCACACATCACGGCATTTCCGAAGGAATTCCTAGGAAGGATGATTCCAGCGGCAGCTAGGACCACGTGGGCAGCTTCCGGTCCGCACAAAGTCCCAGCAAACCATGAAGTCGTCCTGCCAAAGCGCTCCAAAATGCTGCTGTTTCTGACCCATGAAATACATTAAATACATTTAAATACCACATTCCAATACATGTCCTTCATTCTTGCCGTTCTCTAGCGTTTCAAAGTCACTTTTCTGATCATAGCATCTGAATCTGCCACATGTTGTCACAAACAGTCTGTCCGACGAAGAGACGTCAACACCACCCGGTAAAGGTTGTGTACCTCAAAGCTTTGCGCCTCTTCTGGGAACTTCAACTTGTTAGTTTAAAATATGAAGGACAGTGAAGCATGTGCAGCCCTATATATGGTCAGGCATAAAATGCATGAAATACTCCATACATTTCCACGATTCATGCATCAAGGCACGAAGCTTTTCCTCAAAGTCCTCATCCTGCCAAGATCGGCTGAGAGGATTTTATCCCTTGGACTTCCACCATAGGCCACCCAAGCCATAAGCATGTGTAAGCCATGCCTTCCGTGAAAGGGAAAATAATGCAGAGAATGAATCAGCATGAAAACCCTACAGCGAAGCATCAAAGCATCAAAGCGTGAGCGTCCTCGTCATTGCGATTCCCGGCTGCTGCAAGGAGCTTCAGCCATTGCAGTCGCTGCGCCTGGGAGCATTGAATGGTTGGGCACTGTAAATGGCACATAATGGCACGGTAGGCAATATCTCCAAACAAAAACCTAACCGAACCCCAATCTCAAATCTCTCTCTCCAGCCATCTCAAATGACAGTCTACATCTTTATGATTTTTGGATATTTTGGTATATGTCTTGTTCAGGATGTTTCAGCAGGAACAATCAACAGCTCGGCCCAGCCGCCTTGGACATCGTCGACACGCGATGTTGCAGCCATTGGGTCATCTGCCAAACAGCAGGCAAAAAAGACTTGCTTTGGAGCGTAATCATCGTAATCTATTCTTTTAAAATCTATTCATATCATACTTGTTTGATCTGGTGTTCCTTCAGACCCCTTAATGCCATCCAAGAGGCATCCCGGAAGACTTCCGGATCTGTTGCGTTTAGATCCTTGGCTTGGCAGGCCATACCTAGGTATATGATATGATGTACTCCTGTTTGGACCTTCTTGGATGTCAGGATTTTTTTGCGTAGTTTTGCTCGTAGTTCTGCTGTGAGGAATTTCACTGCTGCCGTGGAGCTACGAGGTGCTGTGCAACTGCGGTAACTTGATGAACATCAAACTGCCCCCACCGTATCCGACACCTGCAAAGCACATCAGAATTCACACCAAACACTGTCTGAAGCTAGTGCTCTCTGTAATGGGCCACTCTTACCGTAAATGGACGATGAAATCAAATCCTTGCTGTATTGTTGTCAACCCCCGCGCCCCCAAAGTTCAATGTTGTCTTCGGGCTGCGCGTTGGTCATAGCAGAGCTTTAGTAACATCACTGGAACATGCATTCTTCACAGCAGGGTATCCTTTGATTTGCTTTCGTTTCCTTCGGTTTCCTTCGGTTTCCTCTGGTTTCCTTTGGTTTCCTTTGATGTTCTTTGATTTTCTTTGGTTTGGGGATGGGTGGATTCTACAGTTTTCCTTTGGTTTCCTTTGATTTTCTTTGGTTTGGGGCTGGTTGGATTCTATGGTTTTCCTTTGGTTTCCTTTGTTTTACTTTGGTTTTGTTTGGGAGAAACAAAGGAAAAGAAAATCCAAGGAAAAGACACACCAACCAAGGAAAGTTTAAGGAGGCTATAAGCTCACATAAGCTCACAGAATGCATCAATCATGCCTGTTACTAAGACTTTCCTTAGAGTTGGGTCCGGTAGACAAAAAAATAAACCCTGAACAAAGAGGAAGCTAGATAGAGTTTTGTTCAACATTGAAATTTGGGGTGTGGGGTTTTACTTGGTAAATTATAGTAGGGTTTGATTTTTTTTTGGCCATCTACTGTAGTATGGTCAACCCAAACATCAAAAGGATTCCAATAAATTTGCGATGACAACTAATGTGCACTACCAAGTATGACACTGCAAATGTCTTCATGTTGAGCCGTGCATCCAAACTCAATGTGTCCCACATGCTCCGCCTGCCACGAAATCAACAATTTTAATTACGTTTCCTCAGCACAGTGCCTGTCACAAAACTGCACATGGAAGCAAAATGGAGGCGCATAAAGTTCGCCTGAGCATCTAAATGCTGCACTTTCCACAAAATCTGCAACTGTAAAATACTAAAGGAATATGCACTAGGTATCACTACGTTTGTAGGGCTTTGAGCATTTATAGGGAAATTTCAGGGTATTTGCTGAGCAAGAGAAGCTTCAAGAGTAACTACTGTGACTGCCACAGAAAATAGATGTGAACCATGCGAAGCACTGAACCTACGACCTACGACGTCACTACGTCACTACCTACCATCCTCAAGAATCTAAAAAGTGACAGATTCTTGCACCCTTCACAACTCGCAAAACGCCTCCTCAGACATGTGTGCCACTGTAGGCGCTCCGTGCGCTACAGTTCTCGAACAAATTGGTTACAGGATTCAAAGTACAGATTCAGTTGCGCCTGCCACACCCGTGCAACCACACACACCCACACACTCATACGCCCACTCACTCACACACGCACTCGCACACATGAGCTTTGTTCGGAAGCTGGATGTAGCCATTTCGGCAGTACATCAAGATATAATGATATAACATTAGAAATAATATAGTATACAACACACGCGCACATGACCTATATATATAATGATATAATTAATAATACATATATATATATATGTATATATATATGATATACAATATATATACACGTATATAATCGTATATATATATATATGTCATACAGCTCGGCCAGAATGGCATGGAAGATATGGAAGCGCCTGATGTGCACAAAGACAGCTTCGAAGAGCTCACCATCAAAGAACTTTAAGCGTGCCTGGTGCGACATGGTGCGACCCTGATCACTGATCCCGCCCAAAATGGCTTTCTAATGGCTTTCTGGTGCTTTCTGAAATGGTCATATGATGGTCGTTACGTATCGTGACGTTACCATGAAAGCAGCCAAAAGATATCAGGAAGATTTCCTCATGTTTGTATATGTTTGTATTGTTTGTGTATTCGTGTGCCGAGTCTGGCCGCAAAAAGAACTGGGTCAAAACCTGAACGTGACCATCGAAAAGAAGGGCATGGAAAGACTGTCGGACCATGCTTGTCTTTTGGGGGATTTTGGGGTCACCTATATCAAAAGAAGAACCTGTCAGCAAATCCATTGCAGGGATGCCAAGCCGCCGCAGTTTCACATAGAGCTGTCAACTCCTTGGGATTCAAGAGGTCATTCTGAAGCTGAGAGAAGCATATTTCAAAATCATATGAAATCATGATGTATGATCCTTGATTCAAAGACTGGAAACATCTGGAAACAATCTTCTGGACTGCTATATACTCCCCGGTCCAAGTTGGAGACAATCCATGACAATCCAACAAACTAAGGCAAAATCGTCCGCCGACATCTTCATGGAGGCTTCTTGGATGGCAGGACTTAATCGAAGAAACTCCTCAGTCCCAACAGAATCAATCACCTGTTCTGACCCAAACAGAAAGTGTCCAGGAGACTCCAGGAGATCATGGACCACGATGTAACCTAAATTGCAGCCTACACAGCTGACTCCATGCTGACAGCCTACACATCCAAGCTGCTGAAAATGTTTGTATATCTCGCATGCTCGCAGGCCTCATGGCATGCAACCAGTGCAATCAAACATCGTTGAGCAATTGCCAACGCGGCCACAGATGCAACAATTGAACTACAATATACATCAATATACATCAATATACTACAATATACTACAATACTACCCGGCCTGAAGCGCAATGCACATGCAAACATATCCAACCCCTGCTGGGATGTCGTGCATAAATGTCTTTTGAGATCACAGCCATCACAGCATGCCATTTTGTGAATCAAATCTTTGTCATTCTTTGTCTGTTTGATTTGATGTTACATGTTACTTCCAAATCTGTTAGGTTTGGGATTTCCAGATGTCGCATGTCGCTGAGGTTGACACAGCTTGGGTGGTTGTGCAGCCAGGTCTTCAGAGTCCAATTGCCTTGCGACAGTTCCGGAAGCCCGAAGTCTAGTCCGACGACGGGTGATAATAGTGATAGGACGCAGTCGGGAAAGAAGTGGAATTGTAAAGGAATAGATAATCATAGAATATAATTATGAATTATGATACAAATTGATATAAACAGATATAGATATATGGGTGAATTGTGGGAGTGGGTCAAGAAGACAGTATGGAGGATCGTTCGGCGATCCGTACTATGGATCGGGAGTGTTTGCGGAAGGTCCCGTAAGGAGCATTGGTATGGATCATGCAGTATCATGAGGTATGGATCAAGGTGCCTTGATCCATACGTATATGTATCATATATGTACCTTGAATTTTGACTTGTACCCTTGTATGCATCGGTGTATGAATATGATGTCTAACATGGAACGTACTGGTTTCACTGCGTTGTAGTACTGATATGCGTGCGTATTTACATGTTGAAGCAGACAGAAAAATGGATAGGCACTAGATAGAACAATAGTTAGGCTGCTAACACACAATAGATGGAGAACAACCACAAATTTAATAAGGTAATTAACTCATTAACTCAGTCACATGTTTTGTTCTGATTTTCTTGCTTGAGGCGTCGCCGCTTCACAGAACATTGTGAAAAGAATGGCGCCAGCGACGGGCCATGCCGTGAAAAAAAAAACATATGTTGGAAAGTCCTTGTTTTTCTTGTGGGTGCATAAGTATGATTTGGTGCCTCTGTGTGTGCGTGCATGCGTTCATGCACGGAAGCTATGTGCCCGCAGTGGTTGCTTAAAAATAATCATTTCTACTATACTTGATGACCCTGGCTCGTGCAGTTTGGTTTGGCTTGCAGAAGTCGTGTAATTTCCTTGAAATGTGTGGTTGAAGTAGCGGTAGAACAGTAATTAACAGAGATCCAACTCCAGAACAGTCTTCACAGAAAATTCATGGTTCGATTACCCAGTGGGACAGCTCAGTAATCGAATAATTAACCCACAAAGCACATCATCGGCAACACTGAACAAACACTGAAATGTACCACGGTTCTGATAAAGAACTGATATGAACTCATACAGTTGCTCATGTCCTCATGTTTTTTCACATGTTCACTGATGTTGCTTTGATAGGGCTTGTGAGCCCTCTTGGCTGCAGGTTTCGATTCCGGATGCTTGGCCTTGTCGCCGTGGTACGGCAAGCTCTGGTAGCAAGAGTAGAAAGTATATGAAAGATTATGAAAGTATCGTCTGCATTCGTCTGCTCAACCCTTGTTTTTTTCGTTTTATATCAGCATATATCAGCTACCGGCAGCTATCGGCTGCACCATTTCGAAGCCAAGGCGCTTTTCCTCTTGTTTGGTTCGACCAAGGCCCAAGGCTGCACGGAGGGCAGCCACCTGGGAAACTCTGAAATTCTCTGTATCATTCTGTATCCGTCTCCCATAGCATCCATAGCGCATGCTGCTGCGATCTCTCTTTTGATCTCTTTTGGCATATTCAAATATTTCAAATTCAAGTCTACGACCTCGACGAGTCGTGTAGAAGCAAAGAAGGCACAACCATACTGACATGACAACATGAAAAAAAACAATGCGCAACCATGCGCAACCACCCCAGGCATAGGATAGCACTTGCCTGTGCCAAGCTTTGTGCTTCTGGAACGGTCTTCTCAGCTTCTACCTCCAACCAGCTTTGCTATAGGGCTTGGATTGACTGGGTCAGAAACTACGAGTCAACAACTCCAAGGGAAATTGAAAGCCCGATACATGACATTGAAGCAAAACTGGAGACAAAACGCACTTGAACCCTTGACTGGCATACTTTAGATCTGTCGGAGGGAACAGTTTTGCGCACCTTGGCACCATGAACAAACCTCTCAAACTGCACAAGTCCCCCACCCACACACACAAACAACGTAACTACGAAAAATATATAATTATATAAAAATATGGGAGATTTTGAAATAATGAAATAAAAACAGCTCAAGCCCTCGAGGATTAGAAACCCGTTCCCTGTTGCCATGATCATTGCCTTTCTGACAAACCTTCTGACTGGCGAAAGAACATCTTCTCTCAAAACATCTCAAAACAACCGACGGCCAGTAGAAATTGGGAGACAATAAAGATCAATAAAGTAAGTTTCCGGAGTTTCCGGCTCCCCTCTGACTTGGCCTTTGCTCACTCTTTACACAGTGTCCCAACAAGAAAAGAAGGCAACATAATAAGTTGTAACATGAGGCAACCAAAATTCCAATTCCATCTGCGTAGCAGAGCACCTGCTTGCTTTCTGGCAGTTGTGGAACACCGCGCTGAATTCGTGGCAGTTTGGGCTTTGATTCTCCTTCCAGGAAAACCAATTCAGGCCACCGGGCTCATGATGGCAAAGCATGGAAAATTCCCAAGAAATTCAACTAGGGTGCTGGCCAAATATCAATCAAACCAGGGAAGATCAGGGAAGTCTGAATACAGGAAGGAATCACACATTGATCATGTATACATATCTAGCTGTACATGAGTCCCAGAAAACAAGGGAAAAAAAACACACACAATTTCAAAAAATATGCATTCCAGGCTGCAGGCTTCACAGTATGCATTTGACCAACACCTACTGTACTCGCCTAGCTTGGTTGATCTATGACTGTGATTACATCTGATTACTATGATAATCCAGTGTCGTATGACACACCGATGGCCTACACCCTTTCACTTGAAAAGGCCCGAAGCTGAATGTGCCTTCTTCAGCTTCATCGGACGACTCATCAAAGGAAAGCTTCGGACGTCCGGCTCGCTTCATGGCGCTCCATGGGGCAGAATTTGTGATATATCACAAGGTTTCCCTTTTCCCTTAGCTCAAAGACTAGGGTAGTGCTGAAAGAAATGCAAATCTTTCACCTTCAATAGGCAGCAATATCTGCTAGGACCTTTGAGCCTCGAAGGATCATTGCTTCAATTTGCTTCAGGTGCTGCTGCTTATTGCTTATGCATGTTTAGCTCAAAGGCCTTACTTGAGCCTTGTTGCAACACCGCGGAAGCTTGCACACTTCTCCGCATTTCGGCTGCAGTGTCTGCTTGATTTCTCACATTGATGCGACGGCAAAGGACTCGCCAATATAAATGTCCAATTAAAAAAGGATTTTACACTATTCTGCATCAATTTGCATCAAATTCGCCATGCTCTGCCATCGGTTGATATTGCAGGACATTGGGGCCAGAGCTGTTGCGCCAGGAATTGGTCGAAACCTTTCGGAAGACTTCAGGCTGTGTCGCATCGGCACCTGTCAGTTTGCAAAGTTTGCCCACACCGGACCACCCTTCGCACCCAAACTGAATCATGCTGAAAAAACGCCATGAAAAGCTCAAAACTGCTAAACAGTATCTCAGAGTGATGTTCAGAACGCAAATACCCTCCAAGGGCCATGCAAAATGAGTGTCTGGGCTCGCGCAGTGAGGCGGAACCCTGCGAACATGCTGCCACATGATTCCGAAAATGCGAGGCCTGCCTTAGATTCTTAGACATTCTTGGACCATGCTGGACCCACATCCCCCTGATAACGCGCCATATATCCATTCAGAATAGCCAAACATGTTGGTAGAATTTGCCTTTGTGATCTTTTGTACAAGTATAAAAAAATATCCCATATCCATCTTGAGCCTAGTGCACGTTCAACAACTTTTTCTATAATCATATATGATATATGCTAATATATATGTAATGTGTATATATATAGTTTTTGTATGTTTTTGTATAATATTATATAATATTAATATAATAATATATAATAATATATATACATATATATATATTCCATAAGCTTGAAATATCCCCCTTGCAATTCAGTGTGAAGGTCGCACCCCCTGATTCTGTAAGTACAAAGCTGGGGCCTGACCCTCAGACAGGGGTACCCATCATTACAAAATCAAAGGTACCAGACCTTTCCAAGCATGGTTATCATTACAAAATCAAGACTGAACATGTATTTTTACAGAGCAGTTAACCCCCTAATTCAAGGCAAAAAAAATAAAATCATATCAATAAATTTGGTACCAAAAACACCATTTGATTTTGTAATGGGCCTGATTTTATAAGGATTCAGGTCTGGCCCCTTGATTTTGTAACATGATTTTTCCCCCTATACCCCCAGGGCTTGATTTCATAATGTGCCATGATTTTATAAGGTTTTTAGAGTATATTTTGTCAAAACGGCGAGTATCAAAACCCATGTTGTGGATATGGAACATTTATTCAAAATATTTCAAAATTACTTAAATATAATACAACATAAAATCACCTTATAAAATCAAACCTTGCCATGGGAACAAATTAGAAACATATGGATACTTACAAAATCAACCCCAAAGTTCGTAAAATTGGCTCAAAAATCTCTCCAAATTTTGTAAAAATTGGACCATTTTGGCACCCCCCCAGGGGGTCTGGTACCCTTACAAAATCAAGACCATCCATCTTGCCATATGTCCACCTATCTTCCAAAATGATGTTATACCCTTCATCCTTAGGGGTTAGGATATGATTTTGTAGGGTGGACTCCTTACAAAATCAAAGGTGAAAAACTCTATGTACTGGGGGTCCGACCCCCATGATATTGTAAGGGAAATTGCAAGGGGGATCTTGAAATTACCTCTTGAAATTACCTGATTGCCTGATTTTGAGCATTGTTTGCCTCGTTGGGGTCTCCTCTCGCTGCATCGCAGCCTCACGATGCCTGGCAAAGCTCCATTGAAGCAAAGCTCTGAGATGCTCTCAGAGAACAACCAGCCAAACTATCCCAAGACTAGCTGCCCTCAAGTCTCAAATAGTCGTGGCTTAAAGTTTGCAGTTTTCATTCTCTTGGCAGAACTGCTATTAAGGATTTTCCAAAAAAAATTAAAGGAACGTTCTGCAGCCGCGATGTACGGACAGTCTCAAAGACATAAATCACCGGTTTGACACTGATCTTTGTGCAATTTCCTCTCTCGAATTCCATCCCAAACAAACTTAGCTACTGTCATTTAATGTCTGCTGAACTGATGAACTGATCTAACAGTAACAAGTGTTGTGAGTGCCTTGGACCATGTAGGAAGTATTGCCGTCTGCCACCTGCCGGGCTGGGACAAACAACACAGCCTCGCGGCCTTGCTGCGATCCCAAACTTCTTTCGTGTTCTCAGTCCGGACCAGTCCGGTGCCTGCAAGCTGCTCATGCAAATACTCCAAAGAAGCATCCTGAAAAGCATCTTGGGGTATTTGGGCATGTGATAGTTGATCATTGAAATATGGACGAAACAATATATATATATATGTAAATTGATACATAATGATACAATGATACATATTGTATTGCCTTGATACTTTTCACTGCTCACTTGTCAGCTTCTTAAAAATCAAAAAATAACAAAGGCATGCGGGTGTTCTGGCTACATTCATCTGAATGCTTGCTGCGGGGAGAAGTCTCTCCCAGTATGCGATGCTATGACTTTTACGGGTTTTCCAGAATTGCTAGGCTACAGGCTAGAGGACACTTTGACTGTGTTTCCTATGTGGACAACATCTAGCTCCCAATTCAATGATAGGGCCGCACTCAGAGACACTCAGCCCTGTCATCTCCTTGACAGGTGCCGGTTGCCTAGCATCAATGTTGGAAGATGTTGCAAGCATCAAATTCATTCAAATTCAATTCATCTTCCAAGCACTGTCCACATGCTATAGCTCAGTTTACCATGGAACGGCTGCAAGGTCTGTCTGGCACAATGTAACTCCCTCCGCATCCCCTTGAAGAAATAGTCGGCTACTCATTCTTTGCAATGTCCACTAAAACTGAAATTTCACGCATGTCATGGTCTTAACCCGTGTTTCCCAGCACAGACTGACAAGCAACGCTTCTATAGTGCTTCTGACGGTACTAGTACATGTATTCGGAATGTGGTCTGGAAGTTGTGCAACCTACCCGTTGCTCAGCCCTCAAATGTTTGACAGTATGTCCAAAAAAAACGTGAAGGATTGATTGATCAGCGCAGCGCACCAGCAATTCAGCGTCCATTTTTTTTCGCCAGTTTAATCAGCAGGGCCACTGATTCAGCTGGAGCCTTACAACCGAATTGCCATCATTTGACTGAATGCATTAACAGCTCTTGAAGAGCTACAAACCGTGTCAGTTTGTAAATTTGCGATGTGCCCTGCGAGTATGGCACAGTAGTCCTTCAGGTCCGACACTGGTTGTAGAAATATCTGGGCATCAGTCTGTAGAGCCGTGAAATCTCATGATTGAATGATATTGAATCTGGGTGACTTTGTCTATAGATGTTGCGATCTACTTTTTCCATGTCCATGCCAGTATTACCTACCTACGTTGGGGCCTAAGGGGGCAGGCTCCAGGACAGTCCTCATATTGCCTCCCTATCACAAGAAGAACCACTCTGGGAACAGAAATAGCTGAAGCTTAAGGACCGCTGCGCGTGCTTCTGCGGCTTCTGTATGTGAAACACAAAGAAAATTACATGGCAGTTGATTAGAATGCTGCCTGAGAGCTCCCACTGCATCTTGAGAAAGAAGCAAGGCAAGAAAGTAACGAACATAATAAGGCAATGTACATGTCTTTGTAATAATATTATATAATGATTCTGATAGTACAGAATTTCCATTATATAATTTTATCTATGTACTGTAATATATTGTCACTTAATATTGAATCAATGAACTATTGTGAACTTCTTGGCTCGTCATTCTCCTTCAGCTGGCTCTGGTGGTGTTTCCCACCAGCCCTGCAGATTTTTGCAGAGACTTCATCGACGACAAAATCATTCCGTGTCCATTCCAACCTTTGGTTTGGGTGGAAGGTCATCTGAGTCAGCTCCTCGGAAATCAATACACCACAAGCCGTCCAAAATGACATGAGACGTAGAGATATAGAGATGGAGAGCCACCTCTTCCTCACCTCTTACCTTCTTGATATTGGGTTCAATTGAGATTGTTTTTCCACATCAAACACACTTAAATGAGTTTGCAAAATGGACCAAACATCGTGGATAGATAGATTGTTGGCAAATATGAGGAATACATAGAGGCAGAAATGGATTTGCAAAGAGATGGAAAATCAAATTGGAATTGGGAAGTAAAGTGAATTGGATTGAATCAACTATTTTCCGGGATGTGATTGCCCTGCCTTCTAGTTGGGTGCGAAAGATTAGAAAAACATGCACAAATGCCGAGACATTAACGACTGAAGATTGTTGACAACAACTGTTTCAGCACGTCGTTCCAACATACCGGATCTAGCCCTTGCTCCAGCATCTGCATGTTTCAAATTCAGACTCCTAGAGCCTCTCACGGACCGAATGGAGCTACATTTTTGTCATGGCCGAAATTCAAAACACTGTCTCTCCCTACCAGACCGACCCTCGATACCAGCAGTGTCTGACATTGATTGATTGCGTTTGTGCATGGCACACAGGGTTACCCCAGGCCATCCGGAAGTTACCCCAGGGACCACATCCTATTGGCACACTGGTACCACACCATCGTTGGTTTGGCAAACAAAATTCTTAGTCCGTGCCATTGCAAACCACACATTTAATACCATCTCCTTTGGTGATAAAGCCATGTTGAAAGTGGGCAACCGCCATAGCGCTGAATCACACCAAGAAGCTGGCGCGGCCGCACCGAAAAATGCTTAGGAAGCTGTTTTTGCTAGCCTTTGTGTCCTTCTCAGACTTGTCGGAGGGATCCATAGGAGTAGCCTTTCGAAACTTCTCAGCCTGTGCCTTCCATTTTTCCCAAGATTCCTGTGACAAAAGGTCCAGAATGTCAGCGCCTGTATCCACGTGGAGAATCTGTGGGCCTGGAACGATTAATGGTGCAAGCGCTGCCGTCTTTAGACTGAAGTCTGCAGGCACGAAGCATGTCCAACTGAGAATCTATGAGAATCTGATAGACTGACTGATGGACGTCCCCAAAATACCACAAAAAAAAAGACAAAAGAAAAAACTAAAGCACTTGAAATCGCAGACTTGGAACTTTTAAAAACTGAAAAAAGAATAAAAAAGATAACGAAAACAAAGTTGCAAACAGCGCGCCTTGTCTCTCGAAAGCTAATCCAACGACATCTTTCACCGGGCGGGACGTGGTGCACTGCTCGGCTAGCAGCTCCCTTGCCTTGGGAAGCATTCCTGGCTGAGACGAATCTGTGACCTAGATCGATCAAATGACTAGCCCAAACAGTCTATGACATTCTGAAATATTCTGAAGCTTGACTATAGCTTAAAAAGGATTAAAAAGGAATACTTGACTAGCTTGAAAAGGAACGTGTAATCTATGAAGAGCAAACAGCAACCATATCAACCATGAATTGAATCAGTGAGAGTTATGCTAAAATTACCAGGCCTACTTGACAAAGAATATCTGAACATGGCTAGTCTCAGTTGCTGAGAAACTTTCAGTTACTTCAAAGGCATGGTGAATTTCTTTTGCAACAACCCTTGATAATCCGTGCCTTTGGCAACTTCGAGCAATTTCTCCAAAGGAGGCTCAGAGACATCCCACTGCAAACATGTCCAAAGCTGCAGCATGGCATCAGCCTTCTCTCCAACAATGGACTGGCAATGAGAGTTCACCACTGCCACTGTCAAGGACAATACTCCTGCAAAGCCCTGAGACTCCACAAAATCCAAGACCCGAAACAACATCTTGAATGGAAGCCATCGTGCGAACATTGTTAACCAGGCATCCAGCAAAAACACATCGAGGATGACATCCTGCGCTTGAAGGGATTGGGCAAGCGCCTGTGACTGGTGTGCGAGGAGCGCATCAAATGCCTGTTTGACCGTCTCAAAGATGTGAAATCCAGGGAGCCAAAGCTCTCGCACTTTCTCCAGGCAAGACTGGAACCTTGCGTTGGCAGCTGACTCAGACAGGTTGGCACAAAGCACTGCCGCAGGAAAACTCATGCCTTGACAATATCCAATGTGGGGATTGGACCGGCTGTAAGTCAAAAGCACATTCCGGATAGTAGCCCGTCTGCTATCCACCTCTGGAGTGTTTGGGAAAGTTCGAGGCAAGTCCAAATCAATTTGCTCTTTTACCAGCTTTTCGTGGTTCGATGCATCACCTGCCCCTTGTGTCTCCTGAACATCTTCAAGCCGCTCTGCCTTTGGCTCTGCTTCCAAGTCGTTTCGTGGCGAATTTCCAGGAGACACTTTGGGCAGAATGCTTTCAGGCGCTGCATCAAGCGGAGCCACCTGCGCTGTGGGAGGTTGTGCCGATAGTGCCGGTTGTGCTTTGACTTTAGCTTTGGCCGGTGCCTTAGCTGGTGCCTTGGGAGGCATAAGCTGATCACCTTGTTTAGCTTTTGGTGCTTTTGGGGTCCCCACATTCGTTGCCTCACCATTTGGAGGCCCTTCTGCTTTGCCTGGTGCCTTTTGGATTGGGGAATTCCCAGGACCTGGAGCTCCAGGTGGTTTTTTCGCTGGGACTTTGGGTGGCTGGTTGATGGGTTGAGTTTGGTTTTGAGGAAACGCATTTGCTTTTACTGGTTGCTTCGGGGCCAAGGCCTTGGGCTGGGCCTCTGAAGCCATAGCTTTGGGAGGTAACTCTGCCTTGGCCGGTGCTTTGACCGGTGGCGGTTTCTTCGGCGGTTGCAGTGGTTCGGACTTGGGCGCCGTGGCAGGTGCCTTGGCAGGTGGTTTTGGGAGTGCTTTGGCAAGTTGAGGGTCTGGCTGCTTCGCCTGCTTGGGCGCTGCGTTTGCAGGAGACGCAGGTGCTTGCATAGCAGGCTGGCTCTTTGGTACTGGCTGTTGTTTTTCTTTGGGAGGCGGAGGCTGCACGGCATTCACTCCTTTTGCTTTGGGTTTCGGATAGGCGTTGACTCCAGCAGCATCTGGCAATGTAGCCTTTGCCTGTACAGCCACTGGCTTTGGAGCTTTCGGCTTTGCTGGTTTTGCTGGCACGTTTCCTGCAGGTGCAGGTGGTGGAACAGCTTTGGCGGCCGGCTCTGCTTTCAGCATGCCAACTATGTCGATGCTGCATCAGCCAGCATCACGACAAAGGTGCAAACCACCAAAGCAACATTGCCGCTTTCAAAGTGTCTAGCCCAAGGTATTCTAATGTATGTGATGTTTGCTGGCGTCTAAATTTCAAGTAGAACTATGTAAATGCAAGTTCTGAAACTGGACGCAGGGCAAAGTCAAAAAAAACATAAATATCATATGATATGGCTCGATGAATGCTTTTCTTTCATTTATACTTGACATTGACTAATTCAACTTCGGACAGGAACTGTAAATAATTGAGAAAAGATTTGACAAGTATGTCACTAATGGGAAATTCAAGAATGACTCTGCCCGTCAGATCAGTGATGATCAGTGACAACCATGCAAGTCACACTGTGAAATTTTGACGACCATGGGGAAACTTGTCTGATTGCTTAACTATATTGTTAATAACAATAATACATTGTAATAATACTACTTTGCCGAGAACAGCTGGAAGCCTCTGCTGCCGCCCATCCAGAGAATGAAGTGCAAAGACACGCACGCAAGAAAAGAACCAAAGTCAAGTGGTCAGTCAACGAAGGTGAGCTGCTTAGAGGCTTAGAGCTTGAAAGCTGTTTGAAAACTGTTTGAACAAGATCAGCAGGTTTAATTCGCTGTTCTCGGACACTGAGGTCTGCACTTTTCAGCGTATGGGGGATGCGGCATAGCCTAGAGGTTGCCCTCACCCATCCTACAGTATGTTCAGTGACCTTTCTGCTTACTACTGTACCTCAGCTTAATCTCACCCAAATCTCGAGGCCAAAATCAATTGCACCTATCGGAATGTAGATGAAACCTCGCAGACGGTACATGAACTAAACATATCGGCTCAGGTCTGCTGCAGTCTGTCGCTGGGAAAAAATGGCGCCCTGACTTTCACAAACACATGGGGACATAACCGTTCCAGCGGCACTTCAGGGTGCTCCGAATCCTCACTCCCTGCTTAAAGAAAGTAAACCACCGTGCTGAATCAGAGCCAGAATGACCGGCAACCGACAACTTCAGATATACTTCAGATTTAACATTTAAGCAAGGATCAGATCAAGCCAACTTGCATCAAACAAAGTTGTCGTCATACAGTTCGCTTGTCCAAGGAGAACCTCTCGAAAGCTGCAAACCAACCATCGCTTGACAGTTACGTCACTTCATCTTCCTGCAATTGGACCTGATCTGTGATGGTTGAATTAAGATGAATTAAGTAATTAGAAATATTGGTATTGGCACTGATAGCACAGGGGTGCACAAACTTGCGCAAGCCAAGCTTTTGTTTTTGTCGCGGGCGGCTGGGCTCAGCCTTGAGCATGCCAAAGACGAGATACGACGAGACCTGAGCTTGGCTCATGCTGTGCCCCGCTGGCAATGCTCTGAGCTGCGAGGCACCTGTGGCCTTCACAGTGCCGAGTGCAAAAAAAACACTTCCTGAAAGCAAAGGCTGAAGGCACGTGAAGCGGTGAAGCCACGTGAAGCGGTGAAGCCACGTGAAGGCATCATGTCATGTCATTGCTGTACAGCGGACAGGTGCCCCTTCAGCATTGTGCGTAGCTTTCCTATACGAGGTTCAACAAAGCTACACGAGGAAGCTGCTGAAGACAGGAACACTTGTGATTCTAGTTATGTGAAATCAAGCATCATATCTCAATAATGTTCAAGACTGACATATGTGTTTATTGTGATTGTAATTGTATAAGATTGTGTAATTATATATGATAGAAGATTATAAAATGATTTAATGTGAGTGTGGAACAACCTTAAAGGGACCCAAAAGGGACCCAAAAGGGACCCAAAAATAACTGAACATCCTGCCTTCCATGCGGGGGCTAATGCACCTGAGTGCTCGAGCTGCTGACAGCTCTACCTCCACACACCTATGGCGTGTGGAGGCTGTGGACAGCATACCAGGTAAATGCACTCGTCACATAAACCCGAGAATGGTGTCCGGTAAGAACAGCTCATGCATCCCGCACTTGTAGCGACAGGAAGCATTGAGGACTGATAGGAAAAGGGAATGCAGCCGATGCCCCTCTTGAGACATGTTCCACATGTAACAAAAAACATGAAGGTGTGGTGAGGTGAGAACCTCTCAAAATACGAGCAAATTGGTGGGAGGTTGCAGTGCTGAGTAGTCGGAAATAGTGCCCATGACACCGGCTGTGTCCACATGCAAACGCATGCAAATAAGATCAAAGCATTTCCAAAGCTGTGAGTTATGAGTCTGCAAAGGCCTGAAATTGGCCCTTGCACCCCTTTGCTACCCAACAGGTATAATTAATATACACTCAAGAGCGGCTAGAAGTAGAAATGCCCTCGCAGCGCCAGGAGCAAACATCCCTGTGGCCTTGACGTGGCAAGCAACCAGAATATGATGGGAAACAACCACTCTTCAAAATGCCAGAAGAATTGTTCTGTCCACCTCTTAACCCCCCCACAAAACATCAAGCAACCATTCGTGATCTGCTGCCACTTGTTCTGCCTAAGAACCCGAAGCTTTGACTTGAAACACATGAAACACATTTCTCCTATCCAAACAACGCCGACCTGCCTGCGTCACAAATCTAATGGCCAGACCGTGGTGATGTCTTCGCAGACTCGGAGATGTTCTCCTGTGACCGTTTCGATCATTTCTAGGTGCTAGGCTTGCAACTTCTTGCGATGAGCAGCATGCTGAGGCAAACACACTGTCAGTTAGTTGGACATGAGAATTGCATAGAATTGCCATCAGCAAACTCCTGTTGTGAAGCGAGGAGCAAGCGTCCAGCGGATGGCAGCGGGGGCCCACGAGGCCTCGCAATTAACTTCAAAACAAGCGGCATAAAATTGTCATCGCATCTTAGCGGGAGGCCTGAAAAAAATGTCCTGTCCTTCATCGACTCTTGGATTTTATATGTTTGTTAGTGTTGCCCCACTTCTCTTTTGACTGCCCACCTTGCTGCTTTTAGATCCCAACATATCCAATTCCGTTTCTGAACACCGACTCTTCCCGGCTCTACCCCATTGCTTTGCCTCACAATTGGATCCAATCGACGAGGCGCACTGTGGCCTGGAGGAAATGGACGGAAAATCACTGAAGCCCCAACAAGATCCAACAAGTGTTACAGCGCAAACATGCGCAAACGGTAAATAACTGCAATTAATATGGACAATTTTTGACACCATGTGGAAAACATTGCCAAATTTGGTGAATAATGTTGAGTCGAATGAAGCTCACGAATAAAGCCCTTCATGCAATATGTTTAGAAAAGCTGAATGGCCGTTGGATGAAGCCAAAGGGATCTGAAACAAGATACGATGAAACAGTTGACCCCGGTCAAGATATTGGATGAATACAGTGAATGCATCTTCTTTCTGCATGAGCATATGCAA